GAGGGGAGCCCTCATCGCTCCCTACAACTGCCTGAGAGGAGGGGGGAGCCAGGGGGGGTCAGGCTCTGCTCCCAGGGAACGGGCAATGGGACGAGGGGAAATGGTTTGAAGCTGCGCCAGGGCAGGTTTAGGTTGGACATTAGGAAAAACTTCTTCACCGAAGGGTTGTCAGGCTCTGGAATGGGCTGCCCAGGGAGGTGGTCGAGTCCCCATCCCTGGAGGGATTTAAAAGAAGGATACATGAGGTGCTTAGGGTCCTTCTTGTGCTGAGGGCTCCAGAGCTGGATGCAGAAGGCTGGTAGCAATGGCCAAGCCCTGGTGTGGGGAGCCAGGCTGCCCAGGGCCACATTCACAGCGGAGCAGCTCTCCCCTGCCCGGCCATGCCTGCCACTGCCACCAGCACAGCCACCCTGGCCCAGGAGGAGGAGGCATTGTGGTGCGTTAAGGAAAGTCTCCGGGTCCTGCAGAGCCAGCGTTAAAAACTATCATTAGGAGCCATTGTATTTAAATTAGAAATAATCTTCGGCACAATGTGGGGAGAGGAGGCTGGGTGGGACTGGGGAGAAAGCTGCAATTTTCCTGCCATTGTCACTCTGCTGTCCCTGATTGCCAGCAACCGCTGCAAATCTCAGTGATTGACTCAGCCAGGCTGTAATTTGCACCACGTGCGAGGAGCCGAGTGTCACCAGTGTCACCAGCCCCATGAGGACTGGGACGGGCTGTCAGCTGAGCAAGCTGCGCTCAGCTCGGTGCAGCGGGTAGGGGGACAGCGCTGGCCGCATCCCGCTGCCTGCCCGCTCCGGAGCCGCGGTCCCGATCCAGGGCACGGGGGGAGCTGCGCCAGGGTGCAGCCGAGTGGGGCTGATGTCTGGTTTGGTTTTGTAACCAAACCGGGGAGCTGTGAGGCCTCTGCTGTGTGGTTTGGTTTTGTATGTGATGTGCGTGTCCTCCTGGATTCCCTAGGACCGAGTCGGTGGCTGAGAAGATGCTGACGAACTGGTTTGCCTTCCTCCTCCATAAGTTCCTCAAGGTAAGTAGGGGTGGAGCTGAGACCCCGCCGCCGCTTTGCTGTCTCACCCACCGGCCATCCCTGGGGTGAATCTAGGCTTGAAACTCTTCAGTCAGGCTCCAAGTCAAAAAATGTAGTAGCAAGGCAGGGGAGGTGGAAATTTGCTCGGCGATGCCTGCACCTGGGGCTGCTCTTACATGGGCTGAGCCAAGCCATCACAGCCTTCGTGCTCAGCCTTCTTCAACCCTCAGATCGCCTGGAGTAGTTCTCATGTAACGGAGTTTCTGTTGCACCTCTTTAGCACTTAGGAGAAATTCTCACTTCCATCTCCATATTTTTTAACTTTATTTGTGGTTTTGGAAGCCCCACAGAATTTGCTTCATGGGAGTGAGCAATGAGATCAGGATCTCAAATTCCATTTTTACAGCCATTATAGATTTAGTAGAGATTTACCGAGCCAAAGACAACATACCCATTGAGGAACGGAGCTCCTGGGTTTGGCTGTCCCCTCCAGGAGCTGCTGGGGGCTGAGCCTGGATTGCACATGTGCTAAAGATTGAGTCAAGGGGACTGTGCCTCTGCTGAAATAAATCATGTGCAAAACCTGTCTGCAGGCCAGCGGCCCCGGAGGAGATGCACCATCACCACTGTGTTAGTTTTGCTGTCTGTCTCGTTGCGTAGGAATGTGCTGGAGAGCCGCTCTTCATGCTCTACTGTGCCATCAAGCAGCAGATGGAGAAAGGTCCGATTGATGCCATCACCGGAGAGGCCCGTTACTCCCTCAGTGAGGACAAGCTGATCCGGCAGCAAATTGAGTACAAGACTCTGGTGAGTGATCGTGTAGAAGCTGCCATTGAATCGCTTTGTCCTGCCCGCATGGACGTGAGCGGTTCTGCCCTGCAGGCCAGTGGTTAGGACGCTACCATGAAGCACAAGCGTTGCCAGTGCGATAAAGCCTCGTGCTGTTAGACCCGTGCCTAGGTCAGGTGTCTCCCGAATTTGCAGGTGCAAATAGCCTGAGCTAAGGCTTTGAAAAGCAGGGTTTAAGGGGAGCATTTTGTCTCCCTGTGCACCGAGCGTTGCCCTCCCTCCAGCAGATGAAAATGGACAGCCAGGGCTCCTCTCTTAGGAGTGTTATAAAGGGACGCTAGACACAACAGCAATGATGCAAATAGGGACGTAACGTTTTTTTTACAAGAAAGGGTGACAGATGTGGTTACAGTTCTCCTGGATGCTTCTCTGAAGCCCTTTAGAGCACGGTGTGGTTCTCCTTCCTTTCCAGATCCTAAACTGCGTCAATCCAGATAACGAGAACAGTCCAGAGATCCCTGTGAAGGTGCTGAACTGTGATACCATCACTCAGGTCAAAGAGAAGATCCTCGATGCAGTGTACAAAAACGTCCCGTATTCTCAAAGACCGAGAGCTGTTGACATGGACTTGGGTAGGAGCCTCCCCGCCTCGGAGGAAGGGCAAGATCAGAGAGGCTGTTATTATCAGGGATTCTCCGGGGGCGGTTGCAGAGCTCAAAAGCTCAGGCTGCACAACACCACATGGGTTTCTGCCCCTAAAGAGCAGGGGTGCTGCTCCTGCCAGATAGGCTTTGAGCTCTGTGGGATGGGCTAACTGTCTGCTGAGCACGGAGCCAAGGGTTCCTGAAGCCTCCTTCACTCTGCTGAGCAAAGCTTCTCCCCAAGGTTGCATATCTTACAGACCAGGGGGGCAGAGGGGCTGGGAAGGTCCTGTGCCTTGATTTAGCTGCAGAACCCCCCGCATGGGAATTAAAAAGCTGAACTTTGCCTCAAGAAAACTGTCCGCGTGACCTTCCTGGTAGTTGTAAGATTTAAGAGCAGAATTTAGCTTCCTCTGGGTGCCTCTTCCTGGGAGGTGGGCTTTTCTACGGGCTCAGAACTGGATAGACCCCGTTAATGCCTTTTCCCTCTCTGACCATCGTGTCTGCCTGGTTTTTGCCTCTCCTGCAGAGTGGCGGCAGGGCCGGATAGCTCGTGTGGTCCTGCAGGATGAAGACATCACCACCAAGATTGAAGGAGATTGGAAGCGCTTGAACACCTTGATGCATTATCAGGTAAGAAAGCAGCCCCAGCGGACAGCTCCCAGAAAGCTGCCAGGAGGGGAGAAAAGTAGGAATTTAATTCCCGAGTATCTCGCCCGCCAAGACAGACAGGGAGGTCACATTTGTATGATAAACCAGAAGGGTTCAATGTGCTTACGCATTAGAAGGGAAAGCAACCTTGACACAGATCTTATAGGAACCAGCAGAGTTGAAAATTGGCTAAATTAAAACCGCCAGCCGTGCTAGCGAGATAGAGGGAGCAGCGGCGAGGGCTGAGCTGTCGCTGCTGGAGATGCGGGGCCAGGGGAGGGATGGACCTGGGGCTCGGGTCTTTGCGTGGGGATCTGAGACATCCAGGAGTGCAGCTGGGGAGGAAGAGCAGTCTCTGCCTTCCTTCCTTCAAAGCTTGGCAAACACCACGCCATCAGATGCTCTGATGTGAAGCACAGGCTGCAGCGGCAGCTCGTCTCTTAAACTCGTGATCTTCCGACCTGTTGACGCTTGGGCTTTGTTGCAAGGAGTGGAAGAAGGGAAACAGAGCAAATACTTCGAATCCTGCCACATGGGAGGGTTGAGGGAGCGCTGCGGGGATGAAGCCAGGTCAAGAAAGGGTGAAAATCAGGGGCTACTTCTTGACAAAGTGACATCCAACCTCCTAAGTCCCAGACCTGATCTTCCAAGCCAGGTAACGGGAGTTTTGCCACTGAAGTCGTCTAAAGCCAAGCTAGACAGTGAAGATGCTCTGTCGTGCATCGGCCAGGGTGGGCGAGGTGACCTCAGAAATTGATGCCACCTTTAGCTTTGGCAGCCTGCGTGCCCCAGCCCGGTGTGTGTCTGTTGGCCAGGACTGCTTGTGGTGTGCGAAAGGTGGAAAGAGAGGGAAAGATGGAGCCGAGGAAGGTTTGGTTAAAGAGAATCAAAGGCTTTTACTCAAAGCCTGTCTGCAGCAGAGGATAGCTGCATTAATTGGGACCTGTAGCCTACTACTGGCCGTCACTACCTACACAGAAGTGTTTAGTATTTAATCTGGCGTCTGTCCCTGTTTATACACCATCTCAAGTCCGTCAACGTGACACACGCTGTGTAAGTTGAATGCGAGCCACTATTGACAGGAGCCATATAATCAGGGAGCGAGGCAGAGAGGATGGCGTGAATATGCAAAGTGCATGTAAAAAAAAAAAAAACCAAAAACCACCTCCAGGGGCCACTTTTCCGAGCAGCCCGAAGGATTTAAACACAGATGACCCTAAAATGTCACCCAAGTTGTGCAGATGAATTCCGTTGTTTCTAAAATCTGTTTTACCTAGCAGTTGCAAGGGATTAACTGATGTGCAGGGATGCAGCAAGGGGTTTTAGGCCTTGATCTTTAAAAGTCATCTAAGGAAGGCACAGGTAAAGCCGCGCTTGTCTGAGGTGTCGGGCGCGAGGGGAGGGAGTGCTTCCATTCTAGCGCCTGGGGGAAGATCTGAGCCACGAATTTACCCTTCAAATAAACAAAATCCTTGCAGCGCTCAAGATGCTGCAGCTCTCGCTGCTATTTGAATGTCAGTTCTGCCCTGGAACGAAGCAGAAGTTTGCTGCCGACCATCTGAACAGGTCGCGATTGCGCATGTCCCACCCCGCTCTGGCCCGAGCTCTGCACAGCCCGGTGCAGCCGTTTCAGCCATAAAAAGAAGCCAAATGCTCTTGCACTGCAACAGAAATCCTATCAAGGCAGGGCTTTTGCCAAAAACAAACAGGGATTTTTATTTATTTATTTATTGTATACCTACCAGGTTGTTTTTTTTTCTGTTTGAGGAACAAATGTTTCTATTAGGTATCAAAAATACAGCTGCTCCAGGACTGCACAGTAAAACAAATCTGTGGGCAAAGGCACAGCTTAGAAGAGGGTATAAAATCATTTGAGTTTCGAGCACTGTTGTCTCACCGTTTTAACAGGGTGGTTGCACGTAAAACAGGTGTGGTTCAAGCCATAAAAATGAAATCTAGATTTCTCTAACTTCTGGCGGGGTAGTGACGATAATTTCCAAATTTCTAGAAAAAAATAACAGCTGTCTCTGTAGAGATCTCTCCCCATCTTTTATTCAGAGCTGTCTTGCCATTATTCTTGGTCAGATGCCATCTACTTCTATCTGTTGATGTGAAGGCAAAGTCATCTCTGGATTTAGAATCATAGAATCATAGAATTGTTGAGGTTGGAAAAGCCCTTTAAGCTCCCCCAGCCCAACCGTTCCCCTACCCCTGCCATCCCACCCCCAAACCCTGGCCCTCAGCACTGCCTCTGCCCGGCTGTTAAATCCCCCCAGGGCTGGGGACTCGACCCCTTCCCTGGGCAGCCCCTTCCAGCCCCTGACAGCCCCAAGGGGAAGGAATTGTTCCCCATGGCCAACCTCACCCTGCCCTGGCACAACTTGAGGCCGGTGCCCCTCGTCCCATCGCCCCTTCCCTGGGAGCAGAGCCCGACCCCCCCAGCTCCCCCCTCCTGTTTTAGGAAGCGATGAGGGCTCCCCTCACCCTCCTCTTCATTTGCACATGGTCATCATTTTGCAGCAACTGGAGAGGTGCTGTCCCTTGGGAGCAGGCACTGACACAAGGACCAGAAACTGCCCAGTCCCGCAGCCTTGCCCCTGCTCCTGAGTTCTGGGGTCCCTTTGCTCCGCAGCCCCGTTCCCCTTCTCCAGCCGGGGGCCAAAGCAGCTCTGGGGCAGGCGGGGGAGGCTCTGCAGAGGGCAGCTATTTCATGCCAAGGGTTTCTCAGCTCCGCACCTGGCTGTGGGATTTTGAGACTATTACATGTGTTTTCTGCATGTTGGGATGACAGAAGTGCAATACGTGTCTGCATCAGCCGACGGAAAACCTGTTTTACGCGAAGCTGCCTCATGCAAAAGCCAGCTTGGCTTTAAAAAGAAATATTCATCTTTCTGTAATATTTTTGGGCCACTTTATAGAATTATATAGGGAACTGTATGCCTGCTGCTTATTTCTTCATTTATGAAAATAGACGGTTAAATAGGTGTAATTCTTTGTTAAATTTTCTGGAGCTTTTAAACCATGTTGGAAGGAATTGTATTACATTTGTGCAGCATCCCTTTGGTTTCATGCCTATTAAACTCCACGTGAGAGTCTCACCCAGTGTGGTTTTACTCAAGAAAAATGAAACACTGAATTTAATATCAAATGATTTACAGGCTCATGCAGGGTTAACTCAGAGGCAGCCGAGCATGAATACCTGTCAGCCACTGTGAGTCTGGAAAGGCCGAGAGACAAGAAAACTATTTTACATCAAAAATTAGAAGCAGAAAGGGAAGATTTGGGTGGAAAATGAGACCCAGGAGCCGAGGGTGGTGTGGCCGTGGGGCCGGCATCCTCGCTAGCCCATGCAACCACGGTAGCGCCTGGGCTTCTGCACTGCTGCTCTCCCCGCTCCAGGTGTTATTTTTCTTTAAGGTGTTTTGTGCAGCATGTTTGCAGCTCGTCGAAGAATCGGAATATTTATAAAGTTATAAACCAGCCAGCCAGCTTCGCGGGCGTCTCTGGGGTTTTATGGGAGCGTGGCAACAGCAGAGCGAGATGGGAAGCGAATGTGTGTTACATCTGATGCTAATTTGCACGCTGGTATTTTTTAGCTGACAAGAGCCATTCGACCCAAAAATTTAGAGAGTGAGAGTGCTCTGTGTGTGCGTGTGGAATATTTAATGCCTCTCTCCCAGTTAACCACAGCCCTGGTAGAAACGGATCCCGTGCACGGCGGCTGGGGGGCCCCTGCCTCTGCAGGAGCACCCTGGGCTGCGGCGCGCTCGGGCTTCTCCCGGGTGAAATTGAACCAAAGTGGCAGCTAATAACAGCCTGAGAAAATAATATCACCGCTGATCGGTTCTTCCATTGACTTAATAAATTGGATGGAGTGAGGCGGGAGCAGAAGAGGAAGTAACGGAGGTGTTTGAAGTGTTGTGCTTAGAAATATCTCACTTTTGTGCTGGCACCACAAGTGATGATTATTTCCACTATCACCAGCAATAATAACAACTCACATTGACGTGAAACCTTTCATCTGAATGGAACCCAAAGCCTTGGAGGGAGCGTTAGGCGGTGACGGTTGCTGCGTGCGGGTCACCTCCACGATGTACAAACACCCCTTCTGCATGGGGAGATGCCGGGGGAGCAAAATCCTGGAGCTGCCCCGTGCATGGGATCTTGGCAAATAATGGAGGACTTGGCCCCAAAAGCATTTTTTTCCAGCATGAAGAGGCGTTTCTTTTGCACAGCTCCTCTCCCTAAGGCGTTGGCTGGGCCCCGGCGGGCCCGTCAGCCTGCGAGATGCCATGATTCCGTGCTCCGCTCCCTTGCCCTTCTGCACCACAGGCCACGAGTTCCAAATTAAAAGACACTCAGGCCCATTCCCTGGAAACCTGCAGATTCTTAATTAAGGGAAATAAGTTAAAAAACTTCCAGTGACTACTGGATTTATAGGGAGGATAAAATTAAACATGGCTACTAAAATCTGCTATAACAAAATCTTGTTAGCACTAATGTTCATTTATAGTTTGACTTCCCAGCATTTAATTCCTTCTCTGGTGCAGCAGCAGGACTGACAATTTAATACCCTGAAAGATGGCTTTATGACTTGCTCGGCTGTAAATCAAACTTTTAAAGTTTGCAAAAATTGCTAAAATAAAAAATGGTTTAATAGGAATGTTTTATGGTCCATAACGTTATTATAGCCATTTTATTCCCTCTGCATTGTTACTTTAATTGGATCACAACAATTCTTGAGATTCTCATTTTTATTGGATAAAACGTAATCTTAAATCAGAACGACCAAAAACATCTTCCATGCGTCTTTTGATTTATCACTCCTTGCCTTCGGTCCCTTGCTGTAGAGCTGCTGCCGATGGCTCCCCGCGCCCTTGGGAGCCCCGGGCCCTGCCTGGGGACTTGGTGCTACCCGTGCTTGCGGGGTGAGCAGCGGGCAATCGCGGTGCAGAGGGTGGATCTCAAGTTGTGCTGGGGCAGGTTTGGGTTGGACATGGGGAAAAATTCCTTCCCCCAAAGGGCTGTCAGGCACTGGAAGGGGCTGCCCAGGGAAGGGGTCGAGTCCCCACCCCTGGGGGGATTTAAAAGCCGGGCAAACGCGGTGCTGAGGGCCAGGGTTTGGGGGTGGGATGGCAGGGGTAGGGGAATGGTTGGGCTGGATGATCTGAAAAGGCTTTTCCAACCTGAGTGATTCTATGGTTCTATGGTTTTATCTCACTGATCTTTTCCTCTCTTCCTTTGCCTCCCCAGGTATCAGACCGCTCAGTTGTGGCCCTGGTTCCCAAACAGACCTCTTCCTACAATATTCCTGCCTCCGCCAGTATATCCCGGACGTCTATTAGTAGATACGGTAAGAAGCCGAGTTAAGGGCTGGGAAGCGGTGGCTGCCGGATGCCCCCTGCCACACTGCACATTCGAGAGCCAGCCTGGAGCTGGCGGCTTTACCTGAGAACGCGTCTCGATGGGTTGAAGCCACCTTTGTTGCAGGAGGGCAACACCTTAAGGGAATTAGGTGGGGGAAAAGCAGCAGCTTCCCCCAAAGAAACCCCACCGCGACAGCCAAAATGAACAAACATTCATGTGCCAAACAGAAAAATGTCCTGGGTTTTTTGCAAAGGCTTTTCCATCTGTGAGCAGAATGGCAAAAAGACCAGAGAAGCTGAGAGGAGGGAAAAGGAAATGCCAAGCACCGATTCCTTCATCTATTTCTTCTCTAAGTGGAGGATCCCGACTTCTTAGCTAATGGGTCAGGAATGGGTAAGAGCAGTCTTAACTCGGCGTGCTCGGATGTGCACACCTGGGAATTAATGATTTGCATAATAGCAGGGCTCGGCACTTTACGGAGGGTCCCTGAAGACGCTGCAGCCCCAGTAAATGAGTCTGCGAGGTGCCAGGTGTGCGTTTATAGCACTAAATCCACAATAATAGTAATAATATGCTTCCATAAAAGGCAGCAGTGGCAGAATCTCTCGTGCGCTGATCTTTCATTATCTTTCATTTTACAGAATGTTTTGCAAACGAGAGGTCTCCCGACAAAGCTGTCTTCCTCTTGTTTATAGCTCCCAAAATAATGGTTTGGGTTTTTTTCTCAAGCAAGGGTTCTGAGGAGCCATCCGCAGGAGAATCTTTAGGCAAAAGCCAGGAGCAAAGGCATTTCTCCCTGCGAGGTGCGGTCCACCCGCACGCCCAGCGCTGCCCATGCTGCAGGTGATGGAAAAACCAAGGCTGGGTGACACAGCCCGAGTCTTCGGTGCTCGTTGATCTACGTCAGATGGAAAAGCTTCTGCAAACTACCAGCGTGAGCTATCATTGCTCATGTTAAGATTAATACTTCTAATTGTGCAGACAGAATTTAAATGAGATACTTATTTACCTCCCCCATTATATATCAGTACAGAGCTATGTTTAAAAATAGAATTACTAGATGCTTCCCTAGCTGTCCCCCTGTCTGTCTCCTTAATTATATCAGTTGGAGGACTCATTTATCTAAGCCTTAATCAGGGATGAAAATCTAGCTACTTTGGCAATGACTTGCGTATTTCCCTCGGCTGATTTATGATTGATCCCCTTGTTCTCGCGGAGGAGAGCGAGCAGTGAATTGGAGGCAAAACTTGAGAAAAACACGCGAGGTTGCCAGAGAACAAAGAAATTTCGCGAGAGGAAGAAAAACCCCACAATGCCTGGTTGTGCTCTTCAGCACCGCGTCCCACCTTGGCGGCACCACGGATGAGATCCGGGGAGGCGTATTCTTTGGGAAGTTAAATATATCTCACATCCCGCCGTGGTTTCTGAGCAATTAAGGGAAAAACCTTTGTCTGCTCCCCTTTGAGCTCCCCTTTCCCTGCTGGGAAGGAGGACAGAGATGGGGACAGCAGGGAGGCCACCCCGCTCGCCCCGCGGGCGGCACGGCCGGGATGCTGGACTGGCCTCGGGTTCTGCTCAGCTTGAGCCCTGGTTGCTCTAATGACAGGCTCAGGAACAAGAGTTTTCCTCTGCCTTTTGTGCCGGGCAGCTCGTTATTATTTACAAAATACTGATGATCCCAGGACTGGGATGCTGCAGGAGCTGGTGCCCAGGGTTAATGTGCGTGAGCTGCAACTCATGGAGATGTCTTGCGTGGATTTGTATTATCGAGTTCACGTAAGTAAAGGATGGGAATGGAGCAGAAAAGTCCCATGTCTGAGTGTGAAAACAGAAGGGCTCGAGTCTGAGGGACTCTGCTCAGTGAAGATGGGCACGTATCTTCAGCAAACACCAAATTTTCTTGGTGCCTGGGTGGTGTTACATTTCATTACCCCGTAAAAAAAAAAGCCAGCGCAGATGATTTTGGCTTTAGCAAGCACGGTGGCCTCACCAAGAGGAGACGGGGAAATGAAAAAGGGCTTTGCTTTGAGCATGACCGACGTCTCTTCCCGTTGTTCAGACTCCACCTTCCGCTTCCCCGGCAGCCCCGACAGCCTGCGCTCCCGGGCCCCCATGATCACCCCCGACTTGGAGAGCGGCGTCAAGGTCTGGCACTTGGTGAAAAACCACGACCACGGAGACCAGAAGGAAGGAGACCGGGGCAGTAAGATGGTGTCCGAAATCTACCTGACCAGGCTGTTGGCTACAAAGGTACCTGCTCGCTTGGGAAATGCATAGGGAGGTTTATCTGCACCCCTTGCCAGGAGTCCTCTGCAGTGCCCAATGATGCTCAGCTCCCTGAGGGGGGGGTCCTGTTCCCACTGGGCTTTCCTGGGCCCCAGGGGTGGGGTGGCTCCTGGAGCAGCAACAGAAACGCAGCCCAGGTTTGCTCAGGCTGCAAGGTGACTGCTGCAATGCCTCATTCTTCTGCAGGGTGTTAAAACACAAAGAGTTGGAGAGACGCAGCAGTGCCTGTAAATATTTAACCCGTTTCGGTAGCCAGAGAGAGTCCTCCTGCCTTTCACCGTGTGTTCATCACTGTAGATAATGCAGATTTGGTTTTGAAAGCAAAATAAATAGATTCGGGTTAGAAATAAAGAGTAATTGCAGCCGTGAGTAGCTGCAGGCTGGAGCATTCCCCTGGGCTCCTCTGGCAGCAATCAGTGTTCGTAAAGACCCCGACCTTACTTTTTCCTGTGGGACCCATGGCAGCATTTTGCGGGGCTGTGCAGAGCTGGCAGCACCCTGTGGCATCCCCTCCCGCACCCCTGCCCAGCCAAGCACGCACCCGTCCCTGCCTTCACCTTCTCGGTTGCTGCTCCCATCAGGGTACGCTGCAGAAATTTGTGGACGACTTGTTTGAGACGCTGTTCAGCACCGTGCACCGCGGCAGCGCGCTCCCGCTGGCCATCAAGTACATGTTCGATTTCTTGGATGAGCAGGCAGATAAGCACGGCATCCATGACACGGATGTGAGGCACACGTGGAAGAGCAACTGGTAAGAACGGAGGAGGAGGAGGGTGGAAGTGGGGGCAGACCGGAGTACTTAGCAATTATCTCTGTCCTGGGGAAAAACAGAGATGGGGAAGAGCTTTGGGAAGGCTGGGAACAACCAAGTCCCGTAGCTCCAAAGCATGAGATGCACCATGAAGCCCTGCTGATGCTTTTCAACCAGCACGGCTGCCGCCCCAGCGCCCCATGCAGATGTGGGCAGTGGGGTTTGATCCCGGTTCGTGCTGCCCCCCGTGCATGCACGAGCTGAAGCGTTGAACCACGCATGCAACGGTACAGCGTTGAACCACGAGCCCGGCCATCTCCAAGTCCTCTGCCAGAGCTGGGCACTGGCCTCAGGCTGTAGATCCACACACCCGGACTTTGGAAATGGCTGGGTTTGCAGAGCTGGTCTGCTAGTGGGAAGCAGAGCTCCATGCCTGCACCACCCTGCCCGTGCAACCGGGCTGCGGCCTGAATGCCGGCGCGGGCTGGGAGGGGAGAGCTGGGCGTCCGTCCCCATCGCTTCGGGCGGCAGCGGGGGCATTTGGGCAGCGGGAGGAGGTGGCAAGGGGGAGAGGAGCCAGCCCTGCATGCCACCAGCATGGACTGCAGCAGGTTTGGCCTCCTCTGAACAATAGGAGCTCTCACATCTCTGCCTCCGCTGTTATTTTAGGATTAAAAGCTCCGTGGGTTAGAAATTTACCTCTGCGAGGAAGAAAAAAAGTCACAACAAATGGTTGCTCCCTGAAGACTTTGTATTTTCCCCAGAGTCCCGCGTGGTTTAAAAGGCCTCTAATCATCACGGCTGCAAAAGCTGGGTTCCCCGCTAAGGCTGTGGGAAGCTAAAAACAATTTATTGAAAGCCTTAGAAGAAGGAGTTATTAGGATAAAAACTCCAGAATCACAAAAAAAAGATGAGACTTCTTAAAGCAACAAAAAAGAAAGGACTGACCAGCAGAGTTTGCTCTGCCAGAGCCATCAGACCCCACCAGCCCTGGTCCTGGCTTCTGCCCCAGGGCACAGGGGCTCCGGGAAGGGAGAAAATGTG